AAAAAAAAACCTCTGCTGACATGTTTCTAGTAGTTTTCCTCAGTCTCTCCGGGTAAATACAAAGGCAGTAACTTAAATCAGGCCAAGACAGCTTCATTTCACATCCTCTTCAATGCATTATTCATTATCAGTCAAATACTCGACGCTATATGGTTAGTTACCAACAGCGTCGTTAAATAAATAAATGGATATGTTAAGACAGCACGTAGCATCCGTACGGAAAGATGTCGTTTTAATGACACATTACACACTTACACCTGGTTACACATAAAAAACTAAATGCCACAGAACCATTTAAATCTTGTAAGATTTGAGNTCTTGGTCACAGATATCAAAATTTGAGGTTATGAATGCCATGTTGTTGTATTGAGTATTTAAATTTTGACGATGATGACTGTCTGATTATGTATGTATATTTATATGTTATATTGTATTATTGACTTGTTCTATATCTGAGGCAGATGCCTCTATGGATTTTTTGGAACTATAAATAAATGACAATGACAATGACAATGTTCTCATACACGTACTCTGCATCTTTTAACATTACCTTGTGCTGACAATGTGCGAAAATTATTTACGAACTGCACAAACGCTGACGCTACTGTTTTGTGTTTTAATCAAATAATATCATATTTCTCTCCCACACCAAATTTCAATACATAATAAGTAAAGAAAAAATACCAATTGTTCTTTTATCCGTCTGTAAAGATTATTCAAACCCTTAACCCACCGCACATATTCGTAATTTTCTACCAGCCTCTGCCCCTCCACTGGGTCATTAAGGTCATTAACGCCCATTAATCCATGTCAATCCCTGCATCCGTGTCCTGGAAAGGCCACTGAAGCTGCTTCAATATTTATCTGCTGTAGGGGCCACATTCGTTACTATAGCAACACATTGTTTACTTAATCTAAGGGAAAATAAAATAGTTTAAAACTGATAATTCTATTCTTGTGAATTGTATGTTAAAATTTAGTACTACTGTTACATTATAAAAATGGCAGGTTTGAAGCAACAATCAACCAACCAACTAAAATAAAAATCAACAATTGAATTTAGTATAGTGTCAACAGCGTCAACAGTGATGTCCCATATCACATACAATAATCTTTGGGCTGAAGCACAAAAAACCATAAATGAAGCATCTCAATTTGATGCAGCTCTCCATGCAGCTCCACACGAAAAAGATAAACAAGCAGCACAAATACGTGTCAGCGAATTATATGTGAAGTACATAACTGTTGTTAACAAACTGGATCAGTGCTATGACCAGATTGTGCACCCTCAGAAAAGACTTGTGATCCGTAAGTTACTAGATGCATGTATTGGAAGAGTGTTGGAACTGAAACATGAATCAGTAAATCTGGACTTGTCAGAATTTAATTATTATGATGATGTTCTGCTCAAGCTGAATCTCTTGCCTATGGAGGTGGAGATCAATGTGCCAAATTATTACAGAAGAGAAAGAGAAGAAGAGATAAAGAAAAGGAAGACAGCAATGGACAATATATTGAAGAGGCTGGGTTTCTATGAAGAAGAAGCAGCAGAAGAAGTGATGACTGAAGAAGAAGCAATTCGCCTCATACAGATTCATGAACGTGCTCGGCAGGTATATTACTCGTAATTATACATATAACACTAACATAATAAGGGAAGAGGCCGCACCATAGCTCAAGCAGTTAGTCACTGGCTTCTCACCTTGGTGGCCTGGGTTCAAGCCCAGGTCTGGTCAAGTTTGATTTGTGGTGGACAAAGTGGCACTGGAGCAGTTTTTCTCTGAGTACTTCAGTTTCCCCCTGCCAATCGTCATTCCACCAAATTCTCCATCATCATAATCGCCCGGGGCAGGTACAATAGGCCAAACAGTGGCCGACATACTGAGTGGACCCAGCTGGACTCCAGCCCCCACTATGTAAAACATAATAAGTATTAGTATTTATTCAGTATTCCAGACATCCACGAGATGGATACAGAACTTGTCCTCACTTAGTACATACAGACCAATTACAAAAGTTGTTTACATGGAACATTACAACAGTATAAAATATAAATAGTTAATACCTTAGATTACATAAATAAAAAGTCAGAAACATGTCATTTAAGAACAGTCATATTAAATAAGAAATCCACAATAAACAAATAATTATGAGTTACAAAGAGCAAAAAAATCTTTCAGATTACAGAAAATAAGATTAATTGGCAAAGCACAGGTAGAACTCATAATTATAATGAAACAGACATTATAAAATGAGTTTACAATGAACAAAAAATCATAAATTACAAATATAATACACAAGTGAGCCATAAAATTAACCTTCAAATATGTTTATTATAACTACTCTCATTATTGATCAAAGTATTCTTCTAATGAGTAGAATAAATTCGTGTATAACATTTTTTTAAAGTGGTTTTGAATTTAACTATGTTACCATTAACATTCTTAATATCAGAGGGTAATTGGTTAAAGATTTGTATCCCCGAATAATAAGCTCCTTTTTGATAAACGGATAAGTTTGCCTGTGGAATATATAAATTATTACTTTGCCTAGTTTCTAGGTTGTGACTTTTAATGCTTGTTATAAAAAGGTCAAGGGTAGAAGGTAAGCATTTAACATGAAGACACATTGGACAATGGAGATATAGCTTCACCAATCTTATCCTCAGCATTACATGAATATCAGTGGTCAGTTTCAAGCCCATGCTTTACCCCCACATGAAACAGCCCCCAGGATGGACCCCACAGCCAGAATTAGCATATAGGAACTGTGGGATTGTCGATGTTCTACAAGACAACCATGTAAATCTGTAATAACTGTATATATTAAATTGTATAAATTGAATATACAGAATAGCTGCAAAGCTATGTGGAATGTTAAAGTTGGCTGGCCCTGAAAAGGGCAGTTTGTTCCACAGTGAGTGAGCTGGTAGAATTTGCTCCTTTGTAGCAGACCAAGTCTTTACGGCTGTTCAGCTGGTTTGTCTGGCCGGTAATGTGGTGCTGGGTGCGCCTGTAGGAACAGCTGCCTATGGCATGAGTGCTGGAAAGTTGCGGCAACTATGTTAGTTGCCTGATCGCAGAGCGAGGTTGCTGGAGAGTTGTGGCAACTATGTTAGCTGCCTGGTAGCAGAGCGTGGTTGCTGGAGAGTTACAGCAGCTACGTTAGCTGTCTGGTAGCAGTGAAGAGCTGATGACTCTGAACTCTGATCGCTCTGAACTGAATGTGATCACTGATGATTGAGAGCTTTGGGCTCCGCTTTTATACCATGCTTGGTGGGCGGAGCTTAAACTTGCAGTTGCGATTGTGAGCGCTGATTGGCTAGCACATGTGATGATCTACAGGTGGGCTGGACATTGTGTGCTGTATAAATACGAGTGGTGGCAGCAACATGTGGCAATGTGATATTAACTAGGAGTGAGTGCTGTCTGTTAGACCAGCGAAACCATGTGTTAGTATGTGGGATGTTCCCACAGAACAATATATCACAAAGATAAGAAATTAATCTGTATATTCTGACATCTATTAAGGTTAAAGTATAAAAGTGAGCAAAGTACAGGTACTTGACCTACATAACAATTGTGTTCCAATGTAAAGTGGCAAAGGCTGAAATCATATAAGTCTAATCAGCTAAGCCAACTTTTCCTTCCTCCATCTCACATTCCTCCTCGGCCTACTGCACAATACTCTACTCCTGTTTCTCCTTACCTCTCTCAATCAACCAGCATGCAATTCATACTAAAGCAAATGCTCTGAGGTGGGTCTGAATAAGTTGAGTGTGTCCAAAAGAATAGGGCCTACCATTAACAGTTGTCACTTTAAATTGATATGATGTTATGATGTTACAGGGTCGATTACGTTCCCAATTCATGAAGGAAATTCGCCTCATGAAAGAGAAGGTTAAGACCAGTGAGAGTCCTAAGGACAAATCCTTTGATAGTTCCCTAGCTGCCATTAAGATCCAGAAAACTTGGCGTGGTTATAACACACGTAATAAGATGAAACGTCGAAAGCTGGAGGAGATGCTGCTGATTGGAATGTTACAGCCAAGCTTCACAGATGTAAAAGCTCGCCGAAGAGCTGAAGAGGTTTACTATATGTGTTTTACTAAGCATGAATATGGTTTGTTATTAGTTATATTATATCTTTGCAATTGTAAAGATTTAAAAACTTGGTTAACAAAACTTGAAGGTATATTTAGGATCTATCTCGATATATAATTTCATATCTGTGCCCAAATGGCTTATTATTAATTGCCATTTAACTAAAATACAGAAAATATGCCATGCAGCATTTGTAGAAATGATATATAACTTTACATGAACCGTACTTTCTTCTGGGATGTGACTCCATACAGTCTGACAGAAGTTTACCAATTCCAAGTGGACTGTAAGCAGAGACTCTAATTTCTGCTTGGCTTACTCTTCAACCCTGAAGATGGAGATAATAGACCTCTGAAATACAAGTAAAGTTACATCAGACTATGTGGAATCACATTCCAGAAGGAGTATGCATCACAGTAAATGCCATGAGGATCTCAAAACTCACATAATTTGTTTTATCTCCCCCTCTCTCTCTTTAAACCTACATGCATGTATTATTTTCTGCTAAAAACTGTCATACTCAACCCCATAAGTTTGCATTGTCATGATGTGTGTAATATTATTTGCATTCTCAGAATTAGACATAGCTATATATTACACTTCAAAAACTGTTACTATAATGCAGGGATTTTATTTTCCGTGATACTGGACAAGAACAATAAGTTTTATTTGGTTGGCTTGTCTGTGGATTTTTTTTTAGTTAGGTGAAATCTTCATTCTAATAAGTACTCAAGTTTGTGCTAAGACAATCCTGATTTAAAATAAAAGGAGTGAAGTATGTGTCCCAAAAACAAAATGTCACAGCATTTTTTAATTAATGTGGTGACTATTTTTGGTCACCAGATCATAGACTTTTAGGTGCTTGTAATTCTTTTTGTAACAATCAACCACATTAATTATTAAATTTAGGGTGAAAACTGGAATTTGGACAAGAACTTCATTTTCTTATTATTCATGAGAACACATGAATCCAAAGCTAACACTTTTGTTCTTTTGCATTATAAGAAAATGAAGTTCTTGTCCAAATTCCAGTTTTCATCCTTTTGCAGTTTCATCCAGTTCCCAGCAAGCCCTTGAGGCAAAGCAGATATTTCATATATTACGTTTTTATTTATATAGGTTATATAATTTTGTATGAATCCAACTTCTTAATTAAATATAGATACTGGATACGCAGTAGCGTAGTTGGTTGAGGGGCTATGCTACAAGCTGGAAGGTTGAGGGTTCAAGTCCCGATAAGGTCATTGGATTTTTTCAGTTGACCTAATCCTTCCAGCCGCACTAGGCCCTGGAGTTTACTCAGCCTCTAACAGAAATGAGTACCAGGAATTAATTAAATAATTTTCCTGGGGAGTAAAGCTCAGCCGGCGCATAAGGCTGACAACCTTACCGCCATCTTTGAGCTGATTGTCTAGATAATGTGGGACCCTCAACGTCTCACAACCCTATGGGCCTTCACGGCCTGGTACAATGATAGTTTAACTTTTTTTAACTTTACTAATTAAACCAATTCTGTGGTAATTAGAAATGTGTTTTAATATAGTATTCAGATGATGGATATTGACCAAGATATTAATTCTAACTCTGAACATATTTGCAAAAATACTCAGAAATGAACCTGAACAGTCAGCACTCTAACAAGGCAGCCCTCTACTAACAGACTCAGTCCCAAGCCAATTCCATCCATACCACAACTCATTTCCCTCTGCACTAACTAATTTTCCAATAACAGAACAGGTTATGTAGTTGCAGTGATGTGTGGGGTTTCAAATGCTTGATTTATTGTTGTGGATTTATATGCTTTGTTCTGTTGACTACTTGCTGATTTAGCAAGCTTATGGTGTGACAGGTTCTGTATCAAATGGCTTCGGCCTTGTATGGATGTGCTGGAACATGTAATAAATACAATACAATACATCACTTGACATGATCCTGAGCTGAATACATCCACTTCCCATCCACTAACCTATTCCATTGCAACCAACCTTAATACTATCCCAGCTCACCTTTGTCTTCCTAGTACGTAGTATCCAGGAGGTTTCCCAGTCACAGGTCTACATAATTTCTTGTCTTCACCAAGTGAGCTGCATACCCAGTCCAGACGAATGGTCACCATATCACTGATTTCATTACTCTACCTACTATGTGACCTGAAAAAATGACTAAGTTACTTATGAAACTGGGACTGACAGATAACCCAACTTGTGAAAGGTGCCTACAAGAAAACGAATCAGCTGTGTGATTGTAAGGCCATAGCTTATTTAAGATTTCATCACTTGGGTCAGTTTTTATGGAACCAAGTGACTTTTATGACGCCCCAATAAATAAAGTCCTACATTTCATTTGAAGTGTAGGATTAATAAAGGGTTGATCCAAAAGGGAAGCACAATAGATCATTGAAGGTCGCAGTGTGAGAGCCGGATTTTATGGCCCACCCCTTACACACATACACAAGCTACTCATGACGTAATAATACCATAATTTCTCTCACTTAGTGCATTCTTTTTTTTTTTCTTTGGCACTACAGCCCCAGTGGGCCTAGGCCTACTTCCATGAACTTCTCTGTTTACTTCGGTTTTTCTTGATCTTACACATTTGGTAGGACTCCTTGGGCCAGTGATCAGCTCATCGTAAGGCCTCTACCTGTACACAAACACAAAAAAACGCACACACACAAACTAAACATCCATGTCCTGAGTGGGATTTGAACCCACGATCACGGTTTCCAGAAGAGCGAAAACAGTACATGCCTTAGACCGCTCGGCTACCGTGACCGGCTTAGTGCATTCTACTTAGGCACAAATATTTTCCTGAGCATTTCGTTTACAGAGATTCATAATTTATATTTCCTTGATGTAAGAGAACATGTTAACGCAACCATGTAAAAATAATAATTAATAATGTCTTTAATGTGCATACATCTTCCGGTGCTTTAGAAGGCAGATGGGCAATGAAAATTTTCCTCATTCCCATCACCCACATTTCCTATATAACTGACAAACATCCCCATTTGAGTAGACTTCCATCCAAATTATACAGGCAGCAGGTTCCTCCAAAACACTGAAAACCACTTACAGACTAGACAGTGTTATAACTCATAAGACTTCAATCTATGGTAATAACTTTTTGCTCAAATTTCTCACTCTAATTTTAGTGTCTACATCTATTGTACACTCATACAACAATCTGTTGTCCAGGTGAAGGAACTGCGGCGCAAACAGCAGATGAAGCACCAAGCTGAATATGAGCAAATGCTTGTCTCTGAGAAGCAACTTATCAAAAGCTGGAGAGGGGGTCACATGAAGGAAGAGCTCGGAGATGAGGTGTGGATCCCTTATGGAGTTTCCTATAACTGCAATATTAGACATATTTTTCTACATATTTAAGCCTGTAGATATAGTCCTAGTGGTCCATCTCAATGTTTATGTTGTGGTTTACCATGACTCAGTTTATCTTAATCAGCAGAATGTCTTTTGTTAATGAATGTGCTATCTCATGAACACTTTCAGATAGCAAACACATGTATTTTCAAATATCAAAGGTACAGGTAAAGGTAAAGCTATCCCTGTACCAGGGCTGTGAAGGCCCATAGGGTTGTGAGATGTCGAGGCTCTCACATTTTCTCTAGACAATCAGTTCACAGACGGTGGTAAGGCTGCCAGCCTTACGTGCTGGCCGCCCTTTACCCCCCAGGAAGACTCCTGGTACTCATTTCTGTCAGAGGATGAGTTGACCCCAGGACCTTAGTGTGGCAGGAAGGATTAGGTCAATTGAAAAAAAAACCACCTCATTAGGACTCAAACCTGCAACCTTCCAGCTTGTAGCATAGCGCCTAAACCAACTACCCTACTGTGTTCCCCACTGTCAAACATCTAATCATATTATTATGAAATAATTATATTCACAATATGCCTGAATGTTGGAACTTCTGGTATGTCTTTATTTCATTCACTATAACAACACTGATTCAAGTATTATTTTTTCTAAAATAATGTATACTTTTTAGATGTTAATATTTCATTTGAATGTTCTTTTCTCCCCCTTATTACACAAAGACTATTATACTGTTCAGATGAGTTTTACAAATCACAGTTACTCTTATGTTCATTAAATTCCCACAGTGAACAACTACCTCATCAATGAAAAACACTGTGAACATCATGCCACTGTTACATTACACTGTATCTCACTAGAGAAAACACATAAATTGAATTGAATTTATTTACATTCTATAAATCCTAAGCAGGTTAGTACCTTTGGATACAGAACAAGTCAAAAGGTTACATACATAAGCACAGGCAATTTTAGCTTAAAAATTAATATAACTTAATTTTACATCATTCTCTATTTACATTGAAGTATTCATCTAAAGAGTAGAAGGAATGAGCATGTAGATAATTCTTTAACTCTGATTTAAACTTTTTAGTATCATTGCCCAAGTTTTTAATACTTTGTGGCAGATTGTTGAACACTTTTATGCCAGTAAAGTAGACTCCTTTTTGATATACTGATAAAGTTGATGAGGGTAGGTGGAAGTTATATTTTTG